AGGGTTTAGGGTTTAGGGGAGACATGTAGCCGTGGATGTTCGGATTCCCCGGGGCAGTCGGGAGTGGCTGCAATTCGAGAGGAGGAAGCCGCAGAAGACGAAGCAGCGACAGCGGAGCCGTGACCGCCACAGGTCCCACAGAGAGCATACCCGGGGCCGATCGCAGATCGAATGCCTCTCCTCGCAGAGCAAGGTTGCAGCATGTTGATGGCATGCCACCCAGAACCCTAACCTGAACCCTAAACTCTAACCCCCAAACCCTAAACCCTAAGCCCATCTAAACTTTAAGCCCTAAAACCCTAAACCCATCCCTAAGCCCTAAACCCTAAACCCTATTTCAATGTATGCAAGTTCCCGAGACAACTTTGCCGGGCGGCACCGGTTTAGGGTCTTAGGGTTTGGATGGGTTTAGGTTTTAGATGGGTTTTTAGGGTTTAGGGGCCTCGGACAAGTGAAGTCGGAACAGCGCTTTCAGCACGAGTCTCGCCGCAGAGCGCTACAAGACTCAAAGATATAATGATTGACTGCAAACGCAGAGGCTCGGATGCCGTTCGTGCGGCCCAAGGCTACGAAGGTTCACATGTGCCACTCGAAATGACATGGGAAGACGTGATGATAGACGACGAAGTTGACCCGCGTCCTCGTTTGATGGCGTCCCTCGGCAATCCTCCATGCTACCGTAGGACAGCGCCGGGCCGGCGACCCGCACAGAGCCTGACCCGTGTGCTAAAAACGCCCCTGCAGATTGGCAAAGGCGCCTGTAAAACTCCCAATCCGGAAACCCGCCGGCCCCCTCCTGCTAGGGTTTAGGGCCAGGGTTTAGTTTAGGGCTTAGGATTTAGATGGGGTTTAGGGTTTAGGGTGTAGGGTTTAGGGTTTAGGGTTTAGGGTGTAGGGTTTAGGGTCATCACTGCCCTACAAGCGTACGCCATGCTTGCTTTTGCCGGTATACCAGATGGACAGGGCTCTTTTGCCATGTCCGTGCCTTGTTGTGTGGCTGTGAGGTCTTCGCAATAATCTCAGTGCTTGACCATGGAGTGTGCTGCAAACGCCAATTGCAGTTTCAGCGTTTGGCTGCGGACCCTAAACCCTATAAGTCCCAAGCCTGAAGCCTTAAAGCCTTACAGCATTACTCTGCACCTTGAGATTCTCCAAACACTCGGACCACACCGCAAAAATCGGTGAACGTGAAGTTCCGGTACACTCGCTGAAACCATCTACCGCCAACCCTATAGCAGAAGCTCGCACTCTATCTATCTATCTATCTATCTATCTATCTATCTATCTATCTATCTATCTAAGGGGCCTTCATCATTTGCTTGTGCGGCACATTATTCCACAGTCATATATGGAAGCATTATTACCAATCATCTTGGCCCCTGAAGCTTGGACTCCTTATTAATTCCCAAAACACGTGAAGTCCGTTATCGCACCATTCTTAGATTCCTTTTGCAGCACGACTTTCATCCCATCTGCCACGATCCCCCAAAACAACCCAATTCCCTTATCAAACTAGTCCTTTCAGAAAACCTAAACCCCTAAACCCTAAACCATAAACCGACCCATGTAGAACAAGACATCGATTCCATGTACGACGGCTATGCAGGTGAGTTGTTTTCTAAATTAGGGTCCCTTTTTAAGGTCCCCATATAATGCGGCACCCTGATAATAAGGACCCTAAAAGGAACCCTAAACCCTAA